CCATTGCATGTTTTGGCATTTTCTGACACCCTCTGGCTTAAATTCACTAATTGATTTTAGCAACAATAGAGAAAACCACAGTCTTTCCTCCTCCCTCTTCTCCCACCTATCACTTTTGTTAGGGCTCCTGATTGACATAGAGTAGGATTTTTGAGGGTATTTTTGTGTTTGGAAAATACCAGCCCTAGGTCTGATTCCACCTCCCTGGAGCATTCTGTGCCTTTCTGAGAGGCAGCTGATATCACTGATGCTCTTTTGTGGCAACTGCATCAACAATTCTGTGAGAAGATGAAGAAATATGAGTTACCAGCTTCCGTTCCCACTTGCAAGGGGGATTTTAGCAACCCTTCCTCTCCTGGCTAATGCCTCCAAGGCTAGTAAAGACACCTTAAGGCAATGAGATACTAATGCTTGGTCTGAAGGTTTATAAAATCCTAACCATCTCTTGTTTGTCCTAATAAATTAATGTTTTATACCTTGTGTACACATTGCTTGCAGCATGTCTTTATGCGCAATGAAAGTTGCTCAAAATGTTCTAGAAAGAACACAAGACTACTTACTCAAGGAAAGGAAGTTGTCTTTGTGCTTTCCTAGATCCTACACATCCTACTGTGCTTTGTCAGCTGTGTTCTGTTGGAAGTGTGGCTGCTGCTCGTCCTGGGCTGTTCTTGGGGACTGCATTTACAACCTTATGCTATGATCTCCTCTGGCATTGGTAGAACACTGCTAAGCATTAGCCAGAGTGTCTCCAAACTACATTGTGAAAATGCCTGAATGCATGCTGCTTCTCTTCTCTAAGGTCTTAGCCAGGCACAAATTGGTGGAACCCATCAGTAATAACAGATAGTGAGAAGCTCTTTGAAGTAGCCTTTATTTACCTTTGTTATTTGGCCTTCTGGCCCTAAAATTACAATCTACAAATCCCTACACAGAGTAGTGAACATAATGGCATTTATGAAGATCCCAGTGCATGTTCCCACTGCAGGATAAAAAAAAATCAGATGGCACACATGGAGTCCTGTGAAGCTGCCTAGGACCTCAGGCTGCACTTTGCCCCTCACCTTCCCTGTTCATAAATTCCCATGGGGTCACAGAGCCATGAGATCTGACATCAGTGCATCAGACAAAACCTCAATAAAACAGTTTAAAATGAAAACTGGGCATATTTCCAGTGCTCTGTTTTCTCATCACCAGTTTCACCTGTCTTCCTTCTTACTAAATGTTTGACCTTCACCTGTCTTTTTTTGGCTCCAAATACTTGCCTCTTCCTTCATATATGCGTGGTTCCCCGTGTCTTAAACCTCTTCCCAGTCTGGAAATGTCACTCATTACTTACAATCACAGGCTCTTTTCTTAAGCAGGACTCAAAAATCTCTCCCTCTCTAGCAGAGAGTCATGTGTATATCCTAATTTGGGTCACATTTACACAGCTGAAATCTTGCCTTATGCTTTACTGTCAGGATACCAGGTTGGTAAATCCAGCAAGTAAAGTTTAGGAGATTGCAGAATAGTATTTAAAGATATGACATTTAAATTCCAATTACCACAATATTACTGCATTTTCTTTATGAAAAAAGAAAGCTATAAAACTAAGATATTAAACTGTAATTTTCTCTATATTTTATGTTGAATCTGTATTTTCAATGATTTATCACAATATTTCATAATTCATTATTTTCCAAGAGGTTTTCTGTAACCAAAGGATGCATCATTCCCCTAGGAAGCAGAATAGTTGTTAGAAAAACTGTTTTCACACTACTCTATTAACATTTGGAGAAGTGTTCAAACTTCTGAAACAATTCAGAATTCAAAAATGGTTGAGATTTATCTATTTATTTTTTCCATAAAACTTTTAATGCTCTTTGGGTGTAATTCCAAAAATGTCCAATGTAAAATACTAATCATTATCCTAACAGATAAGTCATACAATTGAAGTAAAACATGAAGACAGAGGTGCTGGTATCAAGCAGCAGTGAAACTACCTGTTGAAACAGGAGCCAGACTGCACATCTGCTCCTTCCTGGCCAAGCACTTCCTATGGACAAGACCACAGGAAGGTTCTCTCTGTCCTGGCTTGGTCCTTCTGGTCACTACCTCTTGCAGAGCTGGCTATGATGCCACTTGTTCTTACTCACCCTGTTGGGCAGTCAGAATAGTTATCTAGAAAGTTAGTCACCTCAGGATACAGCAATCATAAAATTCATGTAATCCCACTATCTCGGTCAATGTTCTATGCACTAGACAATCCTGATAAACTTCCTGAATTCTGTCTCCTCATGTTTTGAAAGATAAGTAAATTCTCAAAAATCACAGAAAGTTATTTTTAATATCAATTTTGCTTGATACATATCAGCGGGTTGAAAATTTGTCACTTTATTTCAGCGTATTGGGTTTGTGTGGCAAGGCCTCGGTAGCAGGGAAGGCTACAGTGGAGGCTTCTGTGAGAAGCTGCCAGAAGCTTCCCCCATGTCCAACAGAGCCAATGCCAGTGGCTCCAAGATGGGCCTGCCACTGGCCAAGGCTGAGCCCACTGGCAATGTTGATAGTGCCTCTGGGCTACAGTATTTAAGGGGAAAAATTTACTGCAGAGGAAGAACTGCAGCCAGAGAGAGGAGTGAGAATATGCAAGAGAAACAACCCTGCAGACACCAAGGCCAGCAAAGGATGGGAAGGAGGTGCCCCATATGCTGGAGCTGTGATTTCTCTGCAGCCTGTGGCGCAGACCATGGTGAGACAGGCTGTCCTTCTGCAGGGCAGAGAGGTCCATGGTGGATATCCACCTGCAGCCTGTGTAGGACCCCATGACAGAGCAGGTGGAAGCACCTGAAGGAGGCAGTGACCCTCTGGGAAGCCAGCACTTGCTCCTGGCAGGCCCTGTGGCCCCATGGAGAGAGGAGTCCACACTGAGCAGGTTTCCTGGCAAGACTTGTGACCCCTCGGGGGACCCACACTGAAGCAGCCTGTTCCTGAAGGACTGCATCCCATGGAAGGGACCCACACTGGAGCAGTTTGTGAAGAACGACAGCCCATGGGAAGTACTTGTGTTAAAGAAATTAGTGAGGACTATCTCTGGTGGGAGGGACCCCATGCTGGAGCATGGGAAGAGTGTGAGGAGTCTCCCAGCGGAGGGAGGAGCCACAGAGCCCGTGTGATAACTTGTGACCCCTCGGGGGACCCACACTGAAGCAGCCTGTTCCTGAAGGACTGCATCCCATGGAAGGGACCCACACTGGAGCAGTTTGTGAAGAACGACAGCCCATGGGAAGTACTTGTGTTAAAGAAATTAGTGAGGACTATCTCTGGTGGGAGGGACCCCATGCTGGAGCATGGGAAGAGTGTGAGGAGTCTCCCAGAGGAGGGAGGAGCCACAGAGACAGTGTGATAAACTGGTCACAGCCCCCATTCACCATCCTCCTGCACCACTAGTGGGGAGGAGGTAGAGAAAATCAGGAGTGAAGTTTAGCTGGGGAAGAAGGGAAGGGTGTGGCAAAGGTGTTTAAAGATTTGGTTTGATTTCTCATTACCCTACTCTTATTTGATTGGTAATAAACTGATTTTGCCCATGACAGTAGTTGGTGAGTGATCTCTCCCCTGCCTTATCTTGACCCACAAGCCTTTTCTGGTGTTTTCTCTCCCCTGTCCAGCTGAGGAGGCCAGCGATAGAGCAGCTTTGGCAGACACATGGCATCCAGCCAGGATCAGCCCACCACATTCAGGAGGAAAATCTCAGATAGAAATACCCCAGGGGCAAGTCTATCTAGCTGGTTGATGTTTACTTTCTTATTTTATTTTTTTTTCCTTTCTCAAGTAAGTGTTTATTAGTTCAAACCCAGCTCTGAGGTGCCTCAGCTCTCTGATTTACTACACAGGGAATACAAACATCAGCAACTTCAGGGTGCTGCAGTATTGAGTACCCAGGTTTCTCTTCAGATGTAGCCTTGTTTCTCTGTGAAGAAACACAGTCTAAAGAGCCATTTTGGAGTGTAGTAGTCAAATTTATTTCCACTGTAGAAGCACACTTGTTTCAGGAATAAAAAAATAACATTTTTTTTGCAGAATAAAAGTAAACCTGTAGTGGTATAAATATATTTACTTGCACAAGAATTCACCTAAGTCACTCAACATATATTTATATTTAGTATTCACACAGTCCTAAGTTTGAAATGGAGTCAACAAAAGATGGCTACTTGCAGAAAGATGAGAAATGTGAAGTCTGGCTCAGTTGGGATTTAAACATTTATGAAATAATAGAAAACTTCCTTCCTTGGTTGTTTTTTTATTAAATGAATACATTGCTTATGAAAAACACTGATGGCCTCCAGCACTAACTATTTCTGTTGGTCTAATTAAAATACACTATATGGTATCAGCCACAGAAGCCTCCTCTGGCTGCCTCACAGACATGACCCAGTGCTGGCCAGGCAGAACCAGCAACAAACATGTCAGTGTTAGAGCTCAGTGCTCCTTAGTCTGTGCTCAGCCTCTGTCTTCACTCCTGAGACTCCCATCACCAGCTACTGTCTTTCAAGGAACAAACCAGGTCTAGCAGTTTCCTTCAGGGGGTCATCACAGACTCATCAGACAGCATGTCTGATCAATCAGTAAATCCCTGAGCTATACTAAGACAGGTGCAATATTCCATATAGCATTGTTAATGACATGGTGAAATCAACAGTCCAGCATATAGTAGGTATGGGTGATGTGTAACTTTGTCTGGTATGAATACTTCATGCAAAAGAAAGAATACTATTTTCTGCACTCCCGTTCAGTCAAGCCATGGAACAACAGTAAACACAACTGCAACAAATTTAACTTGTACTTCTAGATAACTCTTCAACTCTTTTTCCAATTGTGGGAGTGGAAAAAAACAAAAGGGGGAAGTTTAATGAATTAATCTCATCATGACTCTGTATTACTGAGCTCTGCCTAAACTACACTTTTTTACTGTATGGGCTATTGTCAGCACCATGTCCTCACAACATATGTTGATGTATTCTCATCCTTCCTTACTGTTAGTACAGCAACAAAAAGTACAAAGTTCAGCCCTGATTCTTCTCAACACATCTACAAGAGGAGGACACTGAACTAATACAACACAATACTGAAGACAAGAGAAAATAACACTTAGTTCTGATACACTGAAAAGCTATTTCACACATAAGCTCATTTATGTAGGCACACTGACATATTGAGCACCATTCTCTTTTTCTTCTTCAGTTTAACATCAACATTCAACTCTGAACAGAGGAACGTTAAGCCTCTAGGGCAGTTTCAGTATTAAGAAAAGAACTACCTCTATTTTAGAAACACCAAAACACTAACGTTGACACTTTAGTCAAGAAGTTCACTGCAAGTGACCCTCTCTCTGAATTCGAAGGCGCTCCTTCTCCACTTGCAAGCGTTCCTTCTCAATCTGCAGCTTCTCTGACTCAAACTTGAGGAACTGCAGCCTCTCCTTCTCTAACTGCAAACGTTCTTTTTCAAGTTTTAACTTTTCAGTTTCTAGATCCAGAGGCTGCATGATGGGTTTTTCTGTTTGGGTGAGGTCATTTTCCAGGGCAGGTTTTTCAGCATGCAGAGTGTCCAGCCTGAGTTTCTCCCATTCAATCTGCAATCGCTCCTTCTCAATCTGAAGCCTCTCGCGCTCCAAGTCCACGTGCCGTAACCGTTCTTTCTCAATCTGCAGACGCTCCTTCTCCACCTGCAACCTTTCGGCTTCGATGTCTAGTCGCTGTTTCTCCAGCTCCACCTTTTGCTTCTCCAGATTGATAAGCAAGTGAGAATCTTCATAAGCTAGCCTAGCTTGAGCAGAGCTTAGATTTCCAAACTCTTCAATGTGGGGGAAGTCTGGTAGGTCATTTTCCTTTTTTGAATCTGGCAAAACTGATGACAATATTTCTTCTTCTTCCTCAATAGGAAACTGCAGAGAGGAATGCGACAGACAAGAATTACGTTCCAGTCTTTATGCCAGAATAGATTTGTTACACAGAACTTGAATGAAAACAACATACTGCATTTTTTAATCTTAAAATCTACTCAGAACTGATTAACTCACAGGTTGTTAAATAACCATGTTGGATCAAAAGATTCTTCTATCATTACACAGGTAGAGAAACACACACTATCTGCAAGCTAAATACCTGGTAAGGAAAAATAGAAAATCAGCTTGTCAGAGGACACGCAAGAACATACAAAAAATATGGCACTGTTATTACAGATCATTCAGAACCACTGATAGAAAACTGGATCTAAGAAGACCATATGTTGTTCTTCCTTTTCATGGAGCTGAGTGACATTTATGTAAGCCACCATGAATTTGTTGTGACTAATTATTTATCAGAGCAGATGGGTCCATAGGCTATGCGGTATGTAAGCTAACCCAACCTTCACTAACTTGAGAATTCCATTTCTAAAAAACATTTAACACTGACATTTTTCACATGCTCCTAACCCTTCCAACTCTGCTGAGTGAGTCAATAAACAGCACTTGTTTAATCATTTTGTATTACCACATGTGCTGTAAAGCTACTTATGATGCACACAACAAGGTGGTTAGGACCACTGCTCTCAGCAGACTGTAACAACTCGTGCAAAATCGTAGCCCTTATGTGCTACAAATCCATAGTACACAAAAGATCATTGTCTCCCATTAAGTATGCTACAAGAGAAAGGCAAAATGAGAAAGATACAGGTTCAGAAAAATCTTAAGACTATGAGAGCCACTGACAGCTCTGTAGCATTGGAGAAGACAGACACTGCTCTTCAGCACTGTCCAACAGTAGTCTCACTATGATTTAAGAGCTTAGGCTGACTTTTTCCCAGCACACACATCAATGGAGCTAAGACAGGAGTTGTCTCCCCACCCTTCCCACTCAAAAAAATAACTCCGAAAAAAACCAAACACCAAAGTAATAAAAAACCCAACAAAAACCCCAAAGCAAAACTGTTTGAAATGAGAACTACGTATTTGAGAGGCACAGTAAAACTATCCCAACATACAATTTCACTCCAGCTGGTTGCTTAACCCAGGACAGTCACAGTTTCTACTAGAAGAAGTTAACAACCTGTCTACAGAATCCACAGCTGTTTGCTGAATTCACACTAAAATTCTGACAGAGAGGAATGGCTGATTGATTTATTCAAGTAATATCATCTCCTGGGGGCTCATTTTAAGACATGCAAACAGTATTCTATTTCTTTCTGTATTCTATTTCTTTCTCTACCTGCAGGTAACATACACTTTCAGTTGTTAAAGAGGTATACTTCTCCATTCATCCACCCAGCCTAAGTATTAAAATAACCAGTTTCCTTCAATAGTGTATTGTTATTCTATTGACTGAACTAATTCTTATCCATGGCACGTATGAATGGAAAATAGATGTGCAAAGACATATTCAAAGTTTAGGGATATCAATTCAATAATCAGCACCCAAGACCCTACACACAACTGCAAGTTGCTAGGTTTGAATATTATCTCTCTGAAATACACTTGTTTCTACAGTTTCTTTAATTCACACATTCAGAAAAAAAACAACAGAAACAGATGCTATGAAGAAACACATCAAAAAGCCTTATGCTGAAATGAAACAAAGGCCATATTGCATATAGCTAATGTATCTCAGTCACTCACTTCGAAATTCTGCGGATCCTCCTCTTCCTCTTCTACTTTGATTTCTGTTAAAGATCCACCAGCTTCTCTGAAGTCAGTGATATTTTGCCATTCAAAACTAGATTCAATTGCAAATCCCATTTTCTCATCCATGTCTTCATTGAGAGAGTCATCTAAATTGGATGAAGGAAGGTGAAACCCAGCACCTACTACTTTGATGTTTGCATTCAGACGTTTTCTCTTCATGAGTGCTCTCCAGTCAAGGTATCTCCTTTTCACTTCTGTCCCTGTTCTTTGCTCTCCTTCACCTACAGCATTGACACACTCTGCTATTTCCTCCCAAGCTTTCCGTTTCATCTCATTAATTGTAGTATTAAGTTGCTTTGAAAAGAGTACTTCTCTCCTTTTCCTGATTTCCTTAAGGAGTGTTTGAGTTTCCTGAACACTAAAATTGCTTTTTCTTTTTCTTTTTAACTGTTTCATTTTTTCCAGCTTTAGCTTAATAATTTCACCACAGCAGACTACAGAGATGACCTGACACTGATCAGCTATTAATTTAAATAAATTTAAAAGCCAATGAAAGCAGAGCTCAGTTCTCGTGAAGTGAATTTTCTCTTCACTTTGTAGTATTTTTCTATTTGTCAGGCTTCCTAAGAGAAAAAGAGCAAACAACATCAATCTCCAGGGTATACACTGTATATTTTCATTTAACAACTTGACTCCTAAATCATCATTTATAGAATGCATATTTTGAGCTGATTATTCATTTGATAAAAGAAAGCCATTTTATTAAACTCTGAATATAAAGTAGCCATAGATACCTTCTCTAATCTCCTATGAATTATAAATCCATTAATATATCCATGTCATGAATTATTAGATTGATCTGATTACAAAAATAACAGCTATTTTCCTTCAACTCTTAAGAGTTTTGCCAGTTGGGATTTGCATAAGACTGAAATTTCATATACAGATTTCAGTTTGAATGCTAAATTATTTCCAAAAGAAGCTGAAATTGTTATACCATTGCTTCAAAAACATGGAATGTTTAGGGGACTGAAATTTCTGAGACACGTTTTAAATGACACACCATTTCCATAAAAAACCCACCAGTAGATTAATAAGAAAACTTGAAATTTTAGAGGGTCTTCTGACTTGTCCTAATCACAAATGAAAGAACTGGAGCAATCCTGTTGAATGCCCTAAAATTTCAAACAAATGTCATGCATTAGAGATGTTTTACAGGAAAGAGATTTAAGAATAAGTCACTACATGCCCTTCCTGTCCTCCTCACAGTGATGCAACAGCAGCTTCAAAATTCATCCAGTCCTCTACCCTCAGCATCTTGTGCCTGATGCTGAAGAGAACACTAAACCCCCTAATATACCTGATGGATTGTGTGCAGCTCTGTCCAGAAGTGGATAGTCTGAGTGGGAGAAACTGGGGACTATTAATGCAGTAATGAATATCACTGCATTAACATCATAGACTATATTAAAAAAATCCAAACCAAACAAACAAAAAAAAAACCCCACACTAAAACAGCCAATACCTGAAAGCAGAGAGTGAGAATCATAACTGCTTCTCGGTCACAGAGTGCTCGGTAATGGGTCCAATTTAGGATTATTTTGAACTTTCTTTTGTAGGCAGGTTTTAAAGCCTTACCTTTTAGGCTTTACACCAAGTAGGCCAGGGATTCACTATACAGTACACACAGTTTCAAGCTGTTAGGTTTGTTCACTGCTCATGCAGTTTAAGACATTTGCCCACCTGGAGGCAAATGGTTTTCAGATTATATATTCAACTCCTATTGCCTAATGGACTTAATTCTTAAATAACTCCCCTCCCTCTCCCCCACCAGCTATAAAGGATTCTTAAATTACTAAGTAATTTTTCTCCTGTTATTCTCCCTAAATTTGGTGAAAACATACACATCAGCACACTACACAAAAACTCTTCATTTGGGGGATAATGCACATAATAGTTTAGACATCTTTCTTTATCTCCTATGCGCTACTGACAGTAAATAAGCGGCTCACTTGCCAAGTTTCCCATGTCAAGCAACATTCCTTCATACCCAATGTGCAAGCATGCTGCCATCACAGATTCTCTAAAACACTGCATTTATAAAACTGCTTTACGACTTTTCCTCATGAAAATACTGTTCTGTAAATGAACTTACTCCCCATGATTACTAGCTAGCAAATATGCAAAACCAGGTCCCAAGAAGGGATCCATTCATAACGCATGAGCACCTATCAGCACACACCACTCTACAGTGCTGCCGTGCACTTATTACCCAGCACTTTGGGCTCCTCACACTCAACAGGAAGCTGCATGCTGCTGTTTAAGATGTGTGAAATTTTCTACCTTTATGAAAATAAAGTCCTAATTGATTTTGAGAAAAGGGAATTGTTTTTAAAAATAATATAACCTACTGTTTTAATGCAGACCTGTAACCTCACATGACTGGTAGTAAAAAAAAGGTTGCGGTTTAGAAGGTCAGACTTATACCAGAACACAGCACTGTATCTGCCAGAATGACATGCAATTTTTCTGAGACCTTTTATCTGATCTTTAAACATATCCCTTAACCTTCATTATTATAAGCTTATCAGGAAAAGGTATCAAGAAAGCAGCATCATATTTACTTGTCTGTCAGTAAATCAATTTATTTTGCACTTGCTGTGCTTTTTAAATGCAAATTACAGCATTAGTGCTTTTCTATTGTTACGGCAACTGAATTTTTTGACCTATGCATCAAACTCTAAGTTTATCTTGTGTAAGGTGTTTGGTTGTTTGGATTTTTTTAACCTTTTAGTAAGTCACTGAGCAAACAAATTCTTCAGGAAAGTTACCTGCACAAAGAACAAATTTAGAACACTTTTAGAATCACCACTGTTTACAAGGAAATTATTCTGGACTGATAAATATACAGATTCAGCTGTGACTGAATCTCCTCGTTACTGGGGCATGACCAAGTACTCATACCTTCATACTGGCTTTAGAAACACACACATTTGCACTTACCTGTTTTCAGGGTGGGAAGTGCATGTGAAAGATTCAGAGGTATCCATTCTGAGTTGGTCTTCCATGTAAAAAAGAATTACATAAGAGTTCTTAGGTACAACATAAGTTTCACAAGAATTAAGAGTATTTCACAAGAATTAGAGTTATTTCTGACCTGTCAATACCAAGACATTGAATCTCCATTCATAAGGTCTACTGAAATCAGCAGAATCTAACATCTGATTTTAAGCAAGTACTTGAGTGAACAAAGTGCTTTGTTAATTATGGGAAAATGGGTCAAACACTCTAAAGTACATGCCAGTTGGTTATGCCAAACTCTGGAAAGTACCAGCAGACACATAACTGTCTCTTAAGGTATCTAAATAGCAGATTTTTGCTGAATAACAGCCATTTTCATCTCAAGATATATACCAGCTAAGCCCTTTACTTAGTCCAAGCTAGGTGAACAAGGTTCTGGTCATTTCTAGTAACAGAGAACCACAGGATTTTAGAGACTCATATGGTATCTCGTTACCCTGGCCCTCCCTAAATTTCTCAGCGCTAGCACAGCAGGATAACATGGGCACAAACACAGGAAAACAAAAAAAAAGCTGTGTTTTCAAATCAAATTTTCATCATCTTCTAAATATAGTTTACATGAACATGGAAGATGCAGACAGGCAGGCTTTCTCCTGAGCTCCAGAGAAGGCTGAGAGTTACAACTGCAAATGTCAGGTTACCCTGTGGGTCAGCCTCACTGCTCTTCGTGCCAGTGCTCTGCATCATCTGCCTGATCTTCCCAACCACTCTTTGAGAAGTGTCTAATTTTGGGTTTGCATTTTAAGCCATAAGCCAAGGACATAACATTTAAGACGTACAATACTAACTTGGAAACTACTGGCATCCAATTCCTTTGTTAGGTAGCATTTTCTTTTAGATTCTTTTTAACTTTTGCTAGAACTTGTCTGATACAAGCCCCTGAATTTCCCAGTGAAACACCAGCAAAACCTAGCTGTTTTAAATCTCAGGACTACTAACTTCCAATTGGTATGGACATCTTGCCTCTTTCCTTTTCAAAAGCACATTGCCTTATTAAAGATAATTCCTTTCTTATTAACATAAATGGGAGTTAGTGAATTGTCTTAACAGTAAATTTACTCCTGGATTGTCTCTGCTGTGGCACTGTGTACCTTTCTGATATGCTAACTGAAAAGCATTACTATCTAACTAAAGCTGATGTTTGGGATATTCTGTTTTCTAACACTGCTAGATAGCCCCCAGATATTACTCTTTAATGCAGAAAACTGAACTGTTACATGCTCAAAGAACATAACAGACAGGAATGGCAATATGGTAGGATTTGGACACATTCTAGCTAGCTACAGAAGAAAAACCCAACACCCTATGACCATTTTGAAATACAAGATTTACAAAAACATGACATAGAGAATTGTCCTAGTTCCAGCTAGGACAGTGTTAGTTTTCTTCCTAATAGCTGGGACAGTGCTGTGTTTTGAATTTAGTGTAACAATAATTTTGACAACATACTGATGTTTTGGTTGCTGCTAAGTAGTGCTTACTCTTAGGTCAAGGACTTTTCAGGTTCCCATGCTCTGCCGTGAGGGGGTGCACAAGAAGCAATGGGGGAACTGCAAATGCAAAATGTGTATTTTTACAGTTTAGGTAGAAATGCAATTTAAAAACAAAACAAAACACCACAAAAGAATTCTGATCATACATTAACAAAACTTTCAAAGTTCTTCCAGAAGAGATGGCAACATGGAGGCACAAGTTTCAGAGTCCTGTCAAGCCACAGGAAACCTATGGTCAAGAAGGTCCTCATGACAAGACAAACTATTGTCAGTATTGAAATGATGCAAGTATTGCAAAACTAAGATGGAAACTCCATAAGCAGCCAGAACACACATCCACTGACTAACTTGGACATACTTAATGTCAGAGACATCTATATTTTGCCTTTTTGTGTCTTATTGCCTGACCAACAAAAAAAACTAAATAAGAAACCCACAAAACAAGAAGAAAGCCAACAAAAAGATCCACGCATTCACCAGGATTGAAGGGCTGTTTCTAGCATCAAACTTGAATTATTATTTAGGAAAATTGTGACTTTTTAAAAAGTATGATGTCTTGATGGTTTGCTGTTTTAAAAAACCTTTCAGGGCCTACATTTGAATAAAAAAACCCATCTTTACATTAGGAGGACCCGCTACCTCTAATTTTTTCAAACAAGATTCTAGTCTGAGCATCTTTGCATGATGTTAAAGCTTTCTCAAAAACTTTGCATACGATGCCTAACAGATGACTATCTTGGCTTGGAGTAAGTCAGGCTTTTGTACAAGAGAGGCTTTAGCCCAGGATAACCTGGAAGTTGCTCAACACACGACCAAACACAGCCCTCCCTGCAAGAAGCTCGTGGTGCGTGCACACGCGAAATCAACGCACGAAAGGGAAACAGTAACACCTACAAGGGTAATTTAAGGGAGCAGAGAGGAAGCACCGAGGATGGGAAGCAGCTGTGTGTTCAGGCTGCTG